GGGAGGCGGGGCGCTGCCTGCCCTGGTCCGGAACCTTCCTTCCCTCCGCCTGCCTGAAGACGTGGCAGAAACCGGGCCGTGTCCGCGGCCGCTCGTGCGCGTGCGTGGGAGCCCGGGAGCCGGGGCAGGTGTGGCAGGTGGGGCTCAAGCGTGAGAGGTGCCCCCGGCCCCCTCTTACTGACACACGCCTCTCTCGTGCCTCCCAGACGAAGAAAGGGTATCAGAAGACCGTGCTGGAGATCGACACCCCCAAGGTGGAGCAGGTGCCCATCGTGGACATCATGTTCAATGACTTCGGTGAAGCGTCGCAGAAATTCGGATTTGAAGTGGGGCCAGCTTGCTTCCTGGGCTAGGAGCCGCGAGCCCGACCCCCGAGAGCAACCTCGTGACCTCAGCGCGCCGTCTGCGGGCGTCCTGGACAGTGAAGGCCCCTCGTCCCTCCCCCGACCTCGTCTGCGCCCGGCTCCACGCCGAGCCGGACCCCAGACCCACAGAGCAAAGGAAGAGAGCTGAGTCCCCACCCCGGAGCCGAATCACATGACCTAGACGGCCCACCGCCACCGGCACCCCGCTGTCTCAGCGCCCTTCCGTCGCCACCATGCCACGGGGTCGGGAAGGGGGCCACACTTCTTGCCACGGAGCGGGGTTGGGGGCTGCACTATTCGGAGATCCCTTTTTTTGTTGTTTTTTTTAAATTCAACTTGAAGATGTGTATTTCCCCTTCAAAACGTGTTCTGAGGTGAGCCTTGTAAGGGTCATCCCCACCTTGCCAGAGCGTCTGTTCTCAACTACACGATCCATTTGCGGGCGAAATGTCGTTCCGCATGTGCCTTTCCAATGGATTCAAGGTGCTTCCGTTTTTGTGAGTTTTAAGTAAATATTTGTATTGTATTGTCATAAACGTGCAGTGTCCCTGACTTTCGATCACGCACGGAAACCCAGCTTCAGCCCCGCTGGAGAGTGGGGACAAGGGGTGGGCGGTCCAATCCCGGCGAGACCTGAGGAGCCCCCGTCCCCACCCTGGCCAGGAACGTGCAATAAAGTGGAATATTGCCCAGGGCGGGAGGTCGTGCTGCCGTTCGACCAGCAGGCGTCCGTGCCCCTCTTCAGACAATTTTTTCATGAGCTCTGGAGGTTTTTTTTCTTTTTTTTTAACGGAGAGGAAAAAAAGGAAAAAAGAGAGAGAACTCCACGCTTTGCCTTTCCTTCATGCACTTAGGTTAAAACGCAGGCATAAATTAATTTTAATTGCTTCCTTTCTCCATTCTCCTTCCCGCAGAGCCTGACGGGAGAGCGTCCGGGGCAGGGAACCCACACTTTCTGTAGATGGTCCTTACGTGATAATTGGTGCTCACTTTTAACTTGTCCTTTGTGGTGCTATCTGTTCCAAGGTCTCCTTGAAAGGCGACGCGGGGGTACCTGGCCGTGCCTCACCCTCCCGCCTTGCGTGGTCCCCGTCTTCGCCTCCACGGCGTGGGTCTCCGCCAAGGACGTTAAGGTAGACGCACGCCACCCTCCTGCCCGCTGGGCCCACGCGCTTCTGCGCCCCCAGGTCGCGGCGAGGCCCGTTTCCGGTATTCGGCTGTGGTTCTGTGATTTGAAAACACACACACACACACAAATAAAAGCTGCTTCCCGCACTGTCTGTGTCGTGACGATAGCAGGTTGTATCCGGTTGCCGAACGTTTGGTGCTAATTTCTGTGTCTGTGCTAAGAACTGAATTGAAGCTACGGGCGTGGCCCGGCGGGGTGGCCCGGGGGGCCCTCAGCGGACAGGGAGGAGGGCCGTGAGTTCTGCGGGTCTCTGCAGGGCTGCCTCAGGGCCTCCTTCCCACACGAGCGATTTGGATTCCCACCTGCAAGCATCCTGGGCGCAGGTCTCGGCCGCACTGGAGCTCGGGGCTGGCGGGGCTCTGTCCGGGCACCGTGCCTTCTGCCCACGAGCGAGGGCCGGGGGCTGCCTACTGTGGGCGGGGGACCCGATGGACCGGCGAGGATTGGCTGTCCCTTTACTGTGAAAAGCTGCCCTCGTGCCATGCCCTTTCTCTCCATGCTGGGGGAAGCGGGTGGGGCCCCCGGGCCCTGCTCGGCCCCCTCGGGGGGAGAGGTGACCGGTCCGGTGCTGTCCCTGCCCACCCCGCCCCGCCAGGGAGACCACAGCAGAGAGCCCTCCGGCCCCGGGCGAAACGAAATCACCCACTGGGATTTCCCGAACTCCCGCGGAAACAGAGTCTCGCTGTTGCCAAAGAAAAGCCTGGCTTCGAGGTCCGTTCGCGCCTGGGATGCCGGCCTGCGCCAATGACTCTCACGTTTGTCTCTTCCAAAGCAAAGCCATACGCGAGGACTGCCGAGCGGTGCCCTGCGGGGGTTGTCTAGGTCATGTGATTCCGTTTTGATTCCTCGCCCCTCCCGAGTCTGCTCTTAGTCTGTCCTCCCCATCTTCGTGGTCCCTTCAAAGCTGTCGTCATTTGTACTGAAGCCAAATGTGTCCCCTTCTCCCCCGACCACTTTGCTACGGTATATTGCAATAAAAATTACTTCTTATATTTGCAGAAATTCTCCTGGTGTGATTCTTATTTGTCCTTGTCGATATAACTGGTCACTTGTTGATGGAAAGGGAAAACACGATCATCGGAAGACCCACAGAAAAGGTTCTGGGACGTTGGGCCCTTTACAATACGATGTCAGATGACGCCTTAAAGCCCCACAGACACGATCCTAAGTTTAACTGTGACGTCCAAGGAAGGGTGTCCTACGATATTTTATTTTTATTTAAAAACAATTTTTTTAACGTTTATTTTTGAGACAGAGAGAGAGCATGAATGGGGGAGGGGCAGAGAGAGAGGGAGACACAGAATCTGAAGCAGGCTCCAGGCTCTGAGGTGTCAGCACAGAGCCCGACGCGGGGCTCGAACTCATGGACCGCAAGATCATGACCTGAGCCGAAGTCGGATGCTTAACCGACTGAGCCACCCAGGCGCCCCATCATAACGATATTTTAAACCTGTGCGATGAATGAGTCCCTGTAAGAATTTTTCAATAAATCAAGTTGGCTGTTTCCACCATAAACAGACGTGATTGGCTGTCTTCTTAAGGGCGACAGGGCCGTCCCCTGCACCGACCCCCTCCCGGTGGCCGCGGAGAGCGGAAGGAGGCCGTTGGCGGCCAAGGGGGCACTTCCCCCAGAAGACACAGCCGTGGGCCCGTCAAGGACGGAGCCGTTCCCTGGGGGCCGTCAGGATGTGGCCAGGCGCCAACCCGGGGGACGCTGTGGCCATGCCTGGGTGTCCGGGCTCATCCTGGGCCCTGACGCACGTCCCTGGGGCTCCCTCCCCACCCTGCTGCCCAGCTGCACCTCCGGACCCCACTTCTCGGCCCCTTGGAGCTGCTCGGGGCGTGGGGCTCGCCTGGCCACTGACCACGAGCTCCAGCTTCGACCCTGGCTCTCCCAGTCTGCAGCAGGGGCTCCCTCTTGTCACCGGCCTCCTTCTCGGGAGTGCCGCGTCCCCAGCGGACCTGGAGGGGGTCGGTCCCCAGCCCACCTGAGATGAATTTGCAACAGAGCCGGAGACACATGTTGGTTGCTTTAAGCCAGTGACGTCCGGGGTGGTTAGCTGCTGCACCAAAGCCTGGACTGGTGTTTCTCAAAGTGTGGTCCTTTGGCACAGAAGCAGATTCTCGGGCCCCGCTGCCGACCTGCTGAATCGGACTCCAGGCCTCAGGGGCCCTGCTGTGCCCCCCGGCTCAACGCCCCCTGGCCTCGGCCATCCTGAGCTCGACGGACTCGGCCCCTGAGAGCGGGGCACTCCTCTCGCAAAACCTCGGCGTCGCTGACGGCAGGCGTGCAGCCCGGACTGTCCTCCCAGGACGGGAGGCTCCTGTCTCCAGGGCGGAGCATTTGTCCAGGTCGTCGTCTTCTCCCTGTGGCCTTCGCAGGCAGGTTATTCCCGAGGGAAGAAGTCACAGGTGGAAGGGCGGTGGCCAGGCTGGTCGCCGGTGACCACGCTGGAGGGCGTCACGGGGAACAGATGAGGTCTGGAGAGGGCCGGCGGGGACCAGGACCCCCAGGGGCTGAGGATCAGCGCTAACACCGAGAAACACTGAGGGACACACCGGGCGCAGCTCAGCCGTCCCCCACGTGAGCAGCCGCGCTTTGCTCAGAACCTGGATGTGGATGGTGAAGGCTCCAGACACACGGCTCAGGCGATGACCACGCAGGGTGGGGCCCCCTCAGAGCCGGACGGGTCTGAGGGCCGCCACAGTGACTCGGGAGGCGGAGGGGACAGGCCGGGCGTGCGCACGCCGAGGGCACAGGTCGCCGGCTGAAATCCAACAGGCGGGAAGCTGGTTCATCCACTTGTTCGTGCATTCGTTCATTCGTTCAGGGAGTTCGTTGGCCGCGTGCCGTGTGCCAGGCTCTGGGGACCGCGGAAGAGTCCCGTCTGCACAGAGCTCTTGGCCCAGTGGCGACGGACGTGAGCAGACACAGGCACGAAGCCTGTCGAGAGGGATGAGTGCTCAGGAGAAGTAACACGCATATAAGGGATAAAAGTGTACTTTTTTAGAAGCATAAAGAAAGAGGCACAAAGTGAGAGAGAAAACGTGTGCCCGTGTGTGTGTTGTGTGCCGGATGTGGGACGCGGCAGGACCCGTGTTTGGCCGGCTCCGGGCCCCGTGTTAGGACGGAGCCAGCGTCGGTTGTCACCCAGGTGAGAGCTGGCCGTGCAGGGGACGCGCCGAGGATCGCAGTCTGGATATTTCCAGCGTGGAGTCCGCAGGGCTTGCCGAGAAGGGTGGGAAGCGAGCAGGCCGGGACCCCAGGGGGACGCCGGCTCTGGGATGAGACCCCCAGGACCACGTGCACGTGCAGGTGTGGGCACACCTGCACCCAGGGACACAGCTGTGGCCTGGCCAGAACGCAGTGAGGACAGCTGGCTCCGGGACCCAGGCCCAGATTCTGCCAACACCCAGCACTCAGAGCCCCTGTCCGCCCCTCCGTAAGACGCGAGACGCGTGAGGGTCACCGCCGCTCTGTGACCGGAGGTCCCTCAGAGCCTGAGACGGGCTGGCTGTGTCTTTGCATGGAGAAGGGGCCGAGGGGACAGGAGGTCGACTTCACAAATCGCTTTGGGCCCTGGGGGAGGGGACCGCTCGCGGTCATGAAAGGAAATGGCCCCGTCCCGGAGCAGGAAAGCCAGGGAGGGTCTCTGGTTCCTCCTCCACGGAGAAGGGGTGCCTGCTAAGCCCCTGAGCGGGGAGCACGCTCGTAAGGCAGCCATCGCCGTGTGCGGGGACAACGTGGGTCCTTCCGGTGACGCCCACTGACGTCTGCTCACCGGCGGCTCCCTAAGCC